GAGTGGTGTCTCTAGATAATGGACGAGAACCTTTAAAGCATCAGCTGTAGTATTGTGTCTTGTCACAGTTCCCACTGATGCTGCCTTGGAATAATGTCCCAGCTAAAGAGGGTCTTTTCTTACAGTTGAGATGGAGGCTTTCTGTTCTTCTTTGTTCAGAATAGCCAAAAGTATGTCCAGACATCATGGTTTAGTATATTGTATGGTAGGTGATTCTCATCCTCTCCTATACAAGCTCTTGCATTGTAGGTAAAATGCCATTTTATTCATTGGATCAAAGTCCTGAGCTCAGATTTCCATCCTTCTAAGAAGGTGATTGTGGCAGCTGAACTACAGTCTGAGCAGTTCATTTCCCTCTCCCATGAATCCTCAAGGGTTTTTTGTTTTGTTTGCCAAATGAAGCAGGACCATTTTGAAAAACTGTAAGAAAAGGCACTTTATGTCTTGCCATCTGAAGGAACTAGTTTTCCACTTGTCCAATCTGTCTTTGGTGACTCGTGTAAAACTGTTTTTGCCCAGCCTTATTCCATCAAATGCAGGTGGGATCTCACTTCAGAGTCACTGATGATTTTGCGTGAAAATTCAGATTTGCTCAATCCACAGACACAACGGTGTTCCTCAGGAATCAGCTGAGAAAGGGAAAACCCCACCGTGCTGCAGCTTCTCTTGCAGTTTCCAGTGGGAGCTCTCTCGAAGCATTGTCCATTCTGATTTTTCTTGTGTTTTCAGTTCCGTACGTTTGATCCCTGCAAGCAGCTGTGGTGTAGCCATCCCGAGAACCCCTACTTCTGCAAAACCAAGAAAGGGCCTCCGCTGGACGGGACCATGTGTGCACCAGGAAAGGTGAGAGCGGGTACTGCGTGTACCTACACACTCGTGTGTTCACGTGTGTTTGTGTGCAGTTGGTGAAGTTCACCTTAAAATCAAGAGGAACAAGAGAAGAACCTATCTTGAGGACTTAAAGTCTGCTAAGATGTGGGACAAACTCAGGAATGCAAGTAAGGCTGTTGAGCAGTGTGAGATGAGGAGGCAGGGACCAGAGCTGGTGTGCCTGCACAGCAGCTCTGTGACCATCAAACCCTGTCCTCGTGCAAGTCATGGGAGTGTATGCAGACTGCCCTGTGCTTCTTGGCAAGTCGTTGTGGCAGAGCCAAAAATGGGGAAATTTCTACTTGCCCACAACTTGTGTGGGGTCAAAGGCATTTGTGTTTGTGTCAGTGATGGTTGTAGTGATGCTGACTGGCTTCACTGGTGCTGGTGGTGGAGAGAGCAGCAAGGTCCTGGAGATGACAGTCAAGCTAAGGCCACCATGGCTGCCCTGAGGGAAAGGATGGTTGTGGTAGTTGAGTGCCATCATCATGGCAGAGAGGGACTGTGAAGAGAGAAGAGCAGATTAGCAGAGGTGGATTGGCTGGCTTGATGAGAGTCAAGTGAGGCAGGAGGAACTGTAGAGGGAAGGTGTGAGGTGGCAAGGACTCAGACAGCTCCGACCCCTCAGCCACCATGCTGGACCTGCTCCAGGTCTCAGTTATCCTGCGGTGGTCATGCTGTGCTCATAGCAGATCTGAACTCCCAAGTCCTTTGAAGTCTGCTGAAAACGTCTGGCTTCCCTGGGCTTTGGATGGAGTGAATGAGGGGGAGAGGAAGATGTCGCTACTTGGAAGGCTATTTTGTAAAACCCAATGGATGACATCATTTATGTGATAAATGAACCGTGTTAGCAGCTGCTGTTACGGTTTGAAATGTTTTGGGGTTTTTTTAAAGGTAGTGTAATGCTAAATTAATTCCCTAGCAAGTCATGCTCTATATAAACCACTCCCTTCTGATTTTCTCTTCTTTAGATTATTCCTGTTGTAACAGCTTTGTTTCTTGTTTAAAAATGTATGCATTTTTAAATTACAATCCAAAATCTTAAAGAGTTTCTTTGGATTCATTTTTCTATATCTTGATTTTTGTGGTAAAAACATTCATGAAACCCCCAGAAAAATACAATTATATTCTATTTTTTTGTGGCACCCTCTTCCCCAAGCCATTCATTCATATTAGTATTTGAACAGAAATGAGAAGAAAAAAATAACTCGTAACCATACAGTTAAGGATCTGTCAGCGCTTCCATTATAAACAGTTTGTCAGGATATTATGCAACTCAGCTGTAAAAATTTTCCCTGGACTGAAACTTGGGATCCAAGGCTTCAGCAAACTGTGCAGACAGCCAAGCTTTTTAGTTTGGTGGAGATGCAGGCGAGTATGTGCACAATCTGAAGTTTCAGTAGATGATAGGACTATGACTTGGTTTATTCCCAGAGGAGCTGTCCCAGTTTTTTGATAAATAAACTTATTGCAACCTTCCAGGAGAACCTGAGAAAATAATATAAAATGAAAACCATTTTGTTAGATAAAGCTCAGCAGTCTGAGCTTAAACAGTTTTTTAAAAATAGCATGAGTTATGAAGGTTATACAAGTGACTTTGTGTATCTGAGCTCAGCATTTGACTGGTGTATTTATTAGTTGTTGGTGATTTTAATACAGGCACATCAGATCAGTCCTTTTCCATCTGTCCCTTTCCTTTTCATCCCTGCCTTTGATTTGGCCTTTCTCTCTTCACTCTCTTCATTGATTTGGACAATCCCAGACTCATACCTGAAAGGATGAGGACTGTTAAATGCACACAGTGCCCAAAGCTGGGACTCAGTTGCAGTGTGGCATCTTCCTTTAAGATACATCTCCCATGATACTTCAACAGCACATGAGGAACAGGAAAATAACTTCAAACTTGATCCACTGTTTTCTTGGGAATAACGCCAGAAAAGAACAGAAACATAAGCAATTAAAGATGTTGATTCAAAAAGATCCATTTGTTTCCCACTTTAGAGACTTGCCGTTTTTGTGATTTCATACCACTAATTCCCAGGGCCTATTTTAAGCTCAAACCAATCACAACACTGCTGATGTGTCAAAGAAACATCCTGGCTTTGCAGCAGCTGAGGGGACCGAATGCCAGAAACGAACGTGATGTTTGGGAGACTAACACGGAGTATGATGCATAGATATCTAGTGGAAGGTGTCCCTGCTGATGGCAGGGGGGGTTGGAACTAGATGATCTTTAAGGTCCCTTCCAACCCAAACCATTCTATGATTCTATGATATTCTCACCTAAGCCTGGTGTTCAGATAACCCGTAACTGGTCTCTTTGCTTTCCCAAACTTAGCAGATGCTATTGAGGAGAATCCAGTCCAGCTGCCTCCTTCCTAACTGGTGATCAAGGGGAGAGAACACCTATGGGAGACACGAGATCTGTAGCACATTTTCAGCAAGCACGCTGATAAGGGCCGTGTCTCTGCACACCCAGGACCTTCATGCTGACCCTTAGAAATGCAAGGAAGATTAGACTTTCTAATGCTGTCTATATGTGTGCACGTATGCATGTATGCGTGCATATAGATGTCTGTTTCAGGAAATACATGTAAATGTGTGTAAGCTCTTCTGTGCATGTGGTTATTTGATATAAGTTGCCAAAAGAGTGAGGTTCTACCATTTCAAAAACTTTTCAATAAGTCTCCTTGTGCAAATGGAGACATTGAACAACCTTTATGTTAACTGGCAGCAAACTAATAATTTACTGGGTATAGGGATAGAAAAATAAAATATTCTCTTGGAGCTTCCCAGGCAGAGAAGAAAACTACTATTTTTATAGAATCCTAAAGGAAATAGTGTATTTTATATTGCTCCCAGTCTGATTTTTTTAAGCTAGATTGAGTTTTCAATAGCAAGAGGGAAGATTCTGTCAATTTTGTGAAGCTTTGATGATGCAGCAACTTGCAATTACTTCTGTGTCTGAACGGTCACATTAACTTCCATGAAATAACTCCAGTGTGTAAAGTAAAGCACACGGAGGGGCAGAGTCTTAATGTGAAGTCAAAGACACTCCGTAAATTGCTACAGTGAACCATGAAGACAGGACATATCTGTGCAAAGCTTAACTCTGCATAGCATTCTGTGGATTAAAAAAACCATATGCTTTCAGCTGATAATTTATTTACTTGTATACAATTCTGTCAGCTCCATCGTTAGCCTCTGGCTTCTGAAGCCAGGCAACCTTCAGAAAGAGATCATCAGGTTTTGTTGTTCGGTTTTTTTAACCGATTACTCTTCTGGGGAGACATTTATATCGTCTGAAGTAGCTAACTGCTCTCCCCAGGACAGAAATAAAACCCAAAGTCATTCATGCAAGGAGATGGCATGCTGGAGTCCATCTGCTTGCTGCAGTGACCAACACAAAGGTTTGCATCGCCTCAGTCTCCTTTGTTTCTTTTCTTGGAGAGAGGTGAGAGCCTGGTACCTGCCCCTGCCAACCGAGCTAATGTTGCTCTTGGATTTGGCTCATGTGCCAAGGATCCAGCACAAACCTAGCAGGTTTCTCTTTGCTTGTACCATGCTAATGAGACGATCTGAGTCAAACTTGGAATGATTTTTTTGGTCTGTCAGGAAAGGAAGGGAATGATTAAATATTGAAATAAATAGATATTATTGAGAAGAAAAATGGACTGAGAAAAAAGGTTTCTGAAAACACTAATGTGTACTCAAAGCAATCCAGATAATTTCCCACTGAGAAAGCTGACCTCAGCTTCTCTCGGAGACAGGAGACAGATGGGTAAGTGTATGCTGTGTTAGTCACCACAGAAACAGTGAGAATACTTGATTCTCCACTGAAGAAACTTTTACTGGCTCACAATATACTTTAGTGTTAGAGCTTTCAGTTTATCCCTTGCAACTAATTATTCTCAAACAGATGGAGCAGAGCGGGCCAGCCTGCGTGTGATGGGAAATACAAATAAATAAGTAACACTCTCCTGATATCACCTCAGGAGAGTGGGGAGAGCTGAGGGCCACCAGCCGTGATGCAGTACGAGGGGTTACCTGGTAGATAATGGGGTGTCAAGCGAGGAGATAGGAGAGTTGCCAGTTACTGCCTGATATAAAATAGGTAGAGATACCCATGGAAGATCTGCAAGTGTTTTCTTGAAAAATTAACTTGCAGATGCATTAAGCCCACAGGAGCACACTGGCTCTTTTTTTGGCGTCCACAGCAGTTGTTTCAAAGAACTGCTGAAAACAGCAGTGGAATGTTTTACTGCAGGAGATTCAAGCTTCCTCTCCTGGAAATTGCACTTGTTTTGGACTGTCCTGTTTGCCAGAAAAATAGGCGAGACTGCAAGAAGTCATCTTGTCTTCCACTAAGAAAACAATTTGCATTTACCCGTGGTTTGTTTTTTTTCTCATTAAAAAAAAAAAAAGCTTTAATATGCTTCACTCTTTAAACGAAGCCCTCTGTTTATGAAGGGAATAGTGGTTGAAATTGGCTCTTTTCCACCTCATTATGTAGTTAATGTAGTAGCAATAGGAAGGGTTGGCTCTAGCTTTCTTTATTACACTGGAGATTGCTCCATCTCTGGTTTTACCTCCTCACGCGTTTCCTTGCATAGGTCTTGCACAGAGTAAGACTCTGTTGTGAATCATTGTTTTATGTAGGCTCCTTTCTTTTACTCCACAAACAAAAAGGCAGAGCTGAGGATGACTCATTTTACACAAATGCTTGTCTCCTAATAGCTCTGCCTCAGCTTCCCGACAATCAACATATGACCAGCTTCTCCAGTAAAAATCAGTGCTGCTCTTTCCTTTACGCAGCAAAGTCAATAACACTTTTCCATGTTTGCCTTTCAGTTCAGGGATCAGTCACAGTGTCAAATAGGTGGTTTATTAGTGGTTGTTGCAAACCCACATCCCCCTGTTCCTGGCTAAAACAGGGAAAAGAGATTGGAAAACACAGCATGACTTGTCTCTCCCTCTCCTCTGTGGAGTCCAAGTGCTGGATCCTGGATCATTGCATAATGAACATAAAGCTACGTGGCTCTTGAAATGGATTCAGTGACTGCTGTGGAACTTAGTGACACCTGAGGGATGCAGAGCCCTGATAAAAGGGTGTTTAAGCAAGAATAGATCAGGAGCTGTCACATCTCATCTGCTTCCAAGCCCAGCTGAAATTTGTATTGACAAGCTGATGTGTTGCCAGCTTCCCCTGCCTCTCTGAATGGTCCCATTGCTACGCGGGGCCTGACGGCTCAGATTGTTCATTCAAACAAACTCCTCTAAAGCCATAAGTAAACAGTCCCTGAAGGGTACAGCACTGAGCTTCAAAACTGAAGAAGGCAAAAGACATATTAGCATTTTGCATTTCTTTCATGCTTTGCTGAATTATCTCTTGTTCTGTCAAACAGCTAAGAAAAATCTGCCCATTCCAGCTCCAGACTAGGATTGGTATAATTGGCTTTGTAGTAACTCATCTATTTCATAGGTTTTGACTTTGAATGTTTGAAGTCATGAGAAAGAATGAATAGTTGAAGCCTAATTTCCACTCTCTTTTCTACTCCTTGTCCAACCAAATCAGCACCAAAATAAATTACATTAATAAAGAACCAGTCATTGAGCAGATGAGCAAATCAGTAAGCTGTGTCTTGTCACTATTTTACTAATGATTCTCTCTTTAAATTCAGCATTATTAATGATTAACCATCACTTTTAAATTTGTCTTCCAGATCACTAATCACTCTAGGCTTAAGAAGGCTCTCCTGTTATATATCTTCTGATTTTGTTTTTGCTGGCAGCATGCATTTAGCCATATGCTCAGCTTGTGCTTCCTGCCAAATTCCTGCATTCCAGGGCTTGTTAAGCTGTGTAAAATGTTGTTGTTGACTTGAACGTTAAGGAAAGTAAGTGACTGATTGCACTTGTTGTTATGGCCATCTGTGCGCCGGAGCCAGAGCTCTCATCCCGACAGGATCTGTTAACGCAGACAAACTGCGACAGTCTAATGCAAAGTCGTTTGTTGGGCTGGAAATATTTTTCCAGCACCCACAGTTCATCAGTAGACTTTTATGAAAGCAGAAATAGTACCAGAAAGGGCCAGAATCTGTGATCGTTGAGAAGAATTCATCCTGACTTCAGCTCAGAAAAAATTCTTTGATTAGGGTGCTGATGGAATTGGTGGAAAAGGCATCGGTGGGTTTCTTTAATGAGAAGAGACAGTAGAGAGTATCAGTGCTGAAGCTATGAAGGCTCTTAAAGAAATGTGTAAATATCTTAGAGGTTTGGGGAATGTAGCAAATTGTGTCTTTCAGCCTCGTAGAATGACTGTATTAAAAATCAGGTAAAAGAAAAGAGAAAGCCTAGTAGGGCATGATTAATTGTGTAGAAGTGGGACTGTCCGGGGCTGCTCGCTGGTGTGTTGGTCAGTTTTACTATGAGATCTCCAGGGAGAGTGCAAGAGTTCTTTATTTAATAGCAATAATGTCTAAAATGGGAGCTGACTTTAATTTCATGCCACTTTCCTGCCCACATTTATTGCAGGACTGTGTATGCCGAGGTAGGAGCTGCTGGGAAGGGCGGTGCTGTGGTGGGAGCTCTCGCCATCGCTGCCTGGAGTGGCTGCATGCAGAATTTTACCTTTAGCCTTCAAGATTTGGGACTCTGCCATTTCCCTTAAATGAATCTGTGTTAGTTATGTTGAAATCACCACTGCAGATACATGATGAAGGCGTGTAATGCTGAGGGCAGTTTGATGAACTTGGTAGGCTGGACTCCTGCATACTTAATGTGTATACTTAATACGTGCATACTTAATGTGTAAATTGATAATATCAGAGTGAGTTTGTGATCATGGGCATGGTCTGACAGTGAGTCTCACTACTTTCTCCTGGAGAGGTGAAAAAAAATCCAGAATTATGAATTTTTTTTAGGAGGTTGGAGCTAGATCTTTAAGGTCCCTTCCAACCCAAACCATTCTATGATTCTATGATAATATGGGCCTAAAATGAAATCTGTTGTACCACAGCTTCTCATATGACATAATTCCATCATCTTTGACATCTAATTTTTTCTTTTAGCATTGCTTCAAAGGTCATTGCATCTGGCTGACACCAGACATCCTGAAGCAGGATGGACACTGGGGGGCATGGAGTAAGTTTGGCTCTTGTTCTCGCACCTGTGGCACCGGGGTGAAGTACAGGACACGGCAGTGTGACAATCCCCAGTGAGTATACATACATACACCCGTGTGTTCTTCTGATGTGGAGAGGATGGGTGGTGAGAATCCTTGCTAAATTGCTAGTGCAATAATGCAGTAAAGGATGTTGAGTGGTGCTTGTTAAATTTGACCTATATTATATATTGTCAGAAATTCTACTTTTGGCCCTTAGCAAGTCACAAATCATCTTTATTTCTCAGTTAATCCATCCATTAAGCTGTTTATGCAGTTAGAAGGATCTTGAAAGTGCTATTGCACTATTGCATAAAGTGTAAATAAAAGTTTAGGGCCCTATTTATGTCTTATTTTAGTATGTGAGTATGAAATAATGCCAATGGATTACATTTTTCTTGCATTATTTTTTAAAATTCTTATACCTTTTTACATTTTTTGTTTAATCCATCGTTTTTGGATATTTCAACAAGAAAGTCTTAAAATATTTTCAAACTGTTTTCATTCCAAGCTGGAACAAAGCTCCAGAGATCTGTTAGTTTTAGTAATATTGAATTTTTTTGCTTTGATAATTTATATATGGCTCACCTAGATAATGTAGAATGAGTTGATTTCAGTAACACTGGAGTTATAATATGTTTAATATAGATTGGTGTGTACAAATGATCTGAAATGTGAAATTATTGCTGTCTTATTGCAGTATCATAAAATACCAAGATCCTAACAGCAAGAACTGAAACAATTGTCAGAATTAAATTATTTTACCACGTAGAATATTTTTAACATTGACTTTCTCAGTTTGTGCTGATACAGTGATTGAACTTGACTAGTGTTAAAAATCATCTTATCATCGAATAAGAAAAAAACCTCAAGTTTTATGAAGCAGCATCTTCTGGTGGAAATTGTTCTGTTAAGAAAAAATGTACCCATTCTAATTTCAGCCTTTGGCAACATGAAAGTGACCTTTATAATTGTGGGCACAGTTTTAGTTGTAAAATCTATTTTCATGTAGGAAAAGCCTAATGTACTATTTAAAGTGTTTTCTGTGTTTCCTGGAAGAGAGTGCAAACCCAGCTATGACTCCTGAGCTCTGTGTTGCCAGATGCAGCACTGAGCCGGGCTCTGTCTCTGCTTTTGCTGCTGCCTTAGGGGTGAATTGAATGAGTTGCTTCATCTGCTTGTGTTTCCCTTTTCAGGGCCACACCAAAAAAATGGCTTTTCTTGCCTTTGTCAAGTGGTTTGAGGCTTTTCTTGCAGAAATTGTTTTTTAAGAGCTAAATAGTGACAGTGGGTTTTTAAAGGAAATACATATTTTCCATACCAGAAATACATCACTGGCTTAATCAAGTGCCTACTGACATGATTGGGAATTAAATTGCTTCTCAAATGATTTGATAGATGCTTGATTGATGCATTAATGGCAAAACTAACCATGGCTTTCTCTCCTTCCCACAGTCCTGCCAACGGGGGCCGGACGTGCGTGGGGCCAAGCTACGAGTTCCAGCTCTGCAACACTCAGGACTGTCCTAAGGACTTTGAAGATTTCAGAGAGGAGCAGTGCCGGCAGTGGGATCCTTACTTTGAGTACCAGAACACGAAACACCACTGGCTCCCTTATGAACATGTCGATGGTGAGCACTTCTTTTTTCCTATGAAAAGTAAAATCAGATGCAAACATGAGTAAAAATTATATAAGGAGAGGTAAAAATTCTTCTAGTGAAATCATCCCTCACAAATCTGTTCCGAGTTGTTTGGAGAGATCAGTGAGTATCAGTGCAGGAGTGATCCAATTCATACAGTGTATTTGGATTTTCAAAAAGCCTTGGACCCTGTTCCCCAAAAACTGCTTTTAAACTGCATTATCATCAAATAAAAGGGAATAGTCTTGTATGGGGGTGTGTGTCCCACGAGGATGGGTGCTGGCAGCATGGGTGCTGCTGAGCACATGTGGCAGTGAGCTGGGAAAGGGAGCAAACGAGGTGACAAAATCTGCTTGGGATACAAAATTAGGCTAATTAAAATAAGATGGCCCACAGTGGGAGCTACAGAAGGACCTGGTGACACTAGGTGACTGAATGTGGTGAATGAAGTGTGTAATTGATAAATGCCAATAATGGATATGGGGATAGAAAATGGTAAGTGTGTGTATGTATATGGGTCTGTACACGAGGTGGGCTTTGAAGAGAAAGGTTTGGGAGTTGGGGATGGCTTTAGGAAAACATCAGCTCAGTGACTGTCAAGAGAGGGATGGATAGCACTGATCTGCTTCTGTGTACCTGCATGATGTGTCTCAGTTTTAAATACTCCACCAGTGTAGCTCAGGTTGTGCCCATCTCACTGCTATCCCCATGGCTAAAAAACCCACAGTTGAACTCGGGAAGGCTCAAATAAAGCAAACATAAACAGTGACTTCTGAATAAGGAGAGTTTAGATAAACTGTGACTTTTCACCCTGAAAAAGTGACAATTTAGATTAAGAAGATAGTGTTACAGAATTGTGACTGGCATGAAGAGACTGAACGTAGAATGATTATTCATTGTTTCTCATAACACAAGCCTGGGAAAATAAAATAAAATTATCAGGTGGCAGATTTAAAACAAATAAGAGGAAGTACTTTTCCACACAGCATATAATTAAACTGCAATTCATTGCCACAGGAAGTTGTGGATGCCAGAAAGTTTTAGAAGTGATTTAGAGAAATTCTTGAAAGTTCTGTAATCCATTAAGAGTTATTAAATACCAAACTCCAGCCATGACTTAGGAAGTTCCCAAGCTGCAGTTTACAAGGAACTTGGAGAATATTCTGAGAAAAGTAACAGGTTTGTTCTTACATCTTCCTGCAAACACTACTGGCAGCTGTTAGGTTGGATGGGTGCTGGGTCTGAACCAGCACGGTCAGTCTGATGTTCTGACATCTTGACAGAAATCACGTCTTAGAACAAAAATGTTCATTTTGCTGTTAATGCCTCTGCTTAACTGTCATTGAAAGTGCAGCTGGTTGTTTTGGACCATGGAGGCTGTTGATGTGCTATTGCCACAGTGCGTTGAAAACATGCCGAGAAGAGGTTTTACCAAACAACAAGGCAGAGAGAGGGCAATGATTCTGAATTTGTTTGATGAAGTGTGCAGGCTGCTCACTCTTTTTAAACCTGATCACTTCATTTGAATGATGGGTGCTCCAGGGCAGGGCTGGAATGACAAGGAACAGGTACTGGGCACCCAAGCTGTCCTCAGCCAAGCACCCATCTCTGTGAGGGGAAGGGTCACTTTGGGTGAATCATTTTGCATTACCATGAGAGGATACTCTGCCAGAAGTTAATAGCAAATTCCGTGTAATTAATTTGCCTTTCTTCCCAAACATTCTCAGGGTTCCCTCATTCTTTTCAGGCCATCTTGTGCAATCTGGGATTTTCAGAGGCGCAGACACAGCCTCGTAGCTTAATTTCATGAAATTTTGCTGGCACAGGGAGAGGGGACAAACGCTGTGGCCCACAGACCTTTGCTTTTGCTTTAGCCCTTGGAGCAGTCTGCTGCAAAGACCACTGAAACTAATCAGATGTTTTTCTATTAAATTCAATGGCTTCTTGGTCAGAAACCAGCTCACTGATGTCTGAGCACTGATCGCTGGGCGCTGCTGGTTTCCCATATAACTATGGTATCACTGCAGCCACCTTTAGAGTTACATTTACCTGTGCAGGGTTATTAGAGGGAACAGCTTTTGTGTGAAAACAAGGCCAGAGGGTGCCTTATGCTTGAACTCTTAACAATTTAAAACTCCCTTTTGTAAAGATAAGGCATATCAGCGACATTCTTTGTGCAGATAATGCAGTCACAGCTCAAAAGCGACATAAATCCATACACTTGACACACAGCTCAGCTGGACGTGTCTGGCACATTGTGTATGTGATGGGGACAGAGAGGAGCATCTCATCCCATGGCCAGAGAGAAGCTGCCAAGCTGGGGTACAATGCTTGAGCACCCCAGTGCTGCACTGTGCCGCGGTCTCGCTCCTGCTCCAAGCCCCCTGAGCCCCCCATCTCTCAACCTCCGTGGGGCTCACATACCCCTGTGCTGTGCATCTGCCAGGGCAGTGCTGAGTGACATTGGCTGTTGGCTCCCCGCCTCAGTTAGATGAGAAGAAAACACACGGGGAACAGACTGGCACATGCTCACTTCCACGCTCCTGTACCTTTAGTATACCCAACACCAGTGAACAGAAAGAAAAT